CCTTGAAGGAGAGGATCAATGGCTTTCATAAAGCTGCAATTCCAAAAAAAAAAATTACTTTTAGTGCAATCAACAAATTTGAAGAAACGTCAAAACACTCAAAAATCAACAAACGCTAAGAGATCGAGAGATAGAGAGAAATGTTATTTGTTGGTAAATGCTACATATTTTAAATCAAATAGACAGTGACTCCTCACCCCCCTCGCCTCCTACCAAAAACCTAGTTGCCGCTAATAACCACCCATGTTTCCGCGCGCCCACAAATGCAAAAAATTATAGAAATAAATCACAAAACATAAAAATAACAAAATTACCATCAAAATATATATCTCGACGAGAGGAATCCAACGTGGGTAGGCCGTCAAATTTTGACTGGTGGAACACAAAATACACATCCGACAAGACCACCGTCGTCGAATGAACAAAAATTGCAGAAACATATCCAGCGCTCCAAACTGAATGAAATCACCTCGAAAAGAAAGAGCTCGACGAGAGGAATCCATAGGTAGTTAAACCATCGAATTCCGACCACCGGAGAGAGAGTTATGACTCCGGGAAGCAATTTCGCCGGTGGGAGGTGTGTGGAGGCGGGATTTTGAATCTGGGAGAGGAAGAGAGAGACCGAAATGTGTTGGGCTAGGATTTAAAACAAATTTTAAAAGGGTAATATAGGGACTTCAGGGTGGCCCAGCGGGTATGTCAAAATATTTTCGAAATGAGAGGGGTTTCCCCTAGAGTGTAATCCACGTGGTAGTTAGGTCTATATAATTTGGAAATGAGGGGGTCTACGAAATAATCACGATTTAAATTGAGTTTGAGAACCATTGCCAATTGTAATAACTTAAATAAAGCTAATGGTCTCGTAAGGATGGTCTAATGGTTGCAGCAAGTGAGCCTGTGTTAATTGATCCCGGTTCGAATTTTCTTGCTAATGGTCATCAGGTCGAGCGCGTCATACATAGTTAGACTAGTGTGATTTACGTCTCTCGTATAATTTGCAAGTTATTGGACGAAAGTATTAGTTTTCTCAATGCACCTATACAATTGATTGTGGATTCTGTCATTACCAATAGAAATAAAATAAAATAAAATCAATTTGGATTTAGTGGTTATAATAAACTCCCACTCGAGAAGCATGGCTAATAAAAAAACAAAAGATGCTTATCAACTTCTATGAACAAAATTATAATCGATCTCGGACCCATATACGCACGTCACGCAGTTGACTATCTTGAAGCGGTGTTCAATAATTTATATGGGTTTGTTTTGGCTGAGATTCACCAACTATGTTTTAATTAAATAATTAATTTAAATTCATTGTTGCACAGTTTTATTTGATGAATAATCGAAGAAAATGCATCCATTATGAATAGAACTTGAGACATCTTAGTGCAATATTCAACACTGTTAACCATCAAAGCACATTAACTTATTAAATTATATTAACCACAATTATAGATAATAACTTATTTTTTATGGTTTAAAAATTGCTATTTGTAGTTCAAACCTAATCCGTCTCTCTCTATAGAAAAAAACCTCTCTCACTAACAATAAAAGCTAATTTGGCATAAAATCATTTTTGTTGAAGTGATATACGAACACAAATGAGCTCATCGGATGAAGATTGGAATACACATCATAATGAGGTAAAAATCTTGTCATTTCATTCGAAAAATCTGAACAGAAAGGGCAAACGCCCAACCCGGGCGTCCGAAGATGTTTTACACTCCCAAGTTGGGCGTGCAAACCACCGATCCATGCCCATTTCGGGCGTGCAA